GCCTTTGGCTTGTCCTCCTTCTTGTCTTCCTTCTTCTCACCCTCCGCCTTTGGTTTGTCCTCCGCCTTTGGTTTGTCGTCCTTCTTCTCTTCCTTCTTCTCACCCTCCGCCTTTGGCTTGTCGTCCTTCTTCTCTTCCTTCTTCTCACCCTCTGCCTTTGGCTTGTCCTCTTTTTTCTCCTCCTTTTTCTCGCCCTCCAGCTTGGGTTTGTCTTCTGCCTTTGGCTTGTCCTCCTTCTTGTCCTCCTTTTTCTCCCCCTCCGCCTTGGGTTTGTCCTCCTTTTTTTCCTCCTTCTTCTCGCCCTCGGCCTTTGGCTTGTCGTCCTTCTTGTCTTCCTTCTTGTCAGCCTCCGCCTTTGGCTTGTCGTCCTTCTTGTTTTCCTTCTTTTCGCCCTCCGCCTTTGGCTTGTCCTCCGCCTTTGGCTTGTCCTCCTTCTTGTCTTCCTTCTTCTCCCCCTCCACTTTGGGCTTGTCCTCAGCCTTTGGCTTGTCGTCTTTCTTTTCTTCCTTCTTCTCACCCTCCGCCTTTGGCTTGTCTTCCTTCTTTTCCTCCTTCTTCTCGCCCTCTGCCTTTGGCTTGTCTTCTTTTTTCTCCTCCTTTTTCTCGCCCTCCACCTTGGGTTTGTCCTCAGCCTTTGGCTTGTCCTCCTTTTTCTCGCCCTCCGCCTTGGGCTTGTCCTCTTTCTTCTCTTCCTTTTTCTCACCCTCCACCTTGGGCTTGTCCTCTGCCTTTGGCTTGTCCTCCTTCTTCTCCTCCTTTTTCTCGCCCTCCACCTTGGGTTTGTCCTCCGCCTTTGGTTTGTCCTCCTTCTTTTGCTCCTTCTTCTCGCCCTCCACTTTGGGTTTGTCCTCCGCCTTTGGTTTGTCATCCTTCTTTTCCCCTTCCACTTTGGGTTTGTCCTCCGCCTTTGGTTTGTCATCTTTCTTCTCCCCCTCCTTGGGCTTGTCCTCCTTCTTGTCTTCCTTCTTCTCAACCTCCGCCTTTGGCTTGTCGTCCGCCTTTGGCTTGTCGTCCTTCTTCTCTTCCTTTTTTTCGCCCTCCGCCTTTGGTTTGTCCTCCGCCTTTGGCTTGTCGTCCTTCTTCTCTTCCTTCTTGTCGCCCTCCACCTTTGGCTTGTCGTCCTTCTTGTCTTCCTTCTTCTCGCCCTCCGCCTCTGGCTTGTCCTCCGTCTTTGGCTTG